GTGATGCCACATCGAAAAGGCTCGGATGAGCTTTCCAAAGTTCTACAAGTTGTGCCTCCATCGCTTGTGTCCAGATCACACGCTGCACTGCTGTGCTATTTCGTGTTTTTCACCGACGTTTACGTGTTTGCGCGTGAGCAGTTTGAGCGGCTGCAGTCGGTGAGACCCTCACGAGCGATTGATGATCGGGAGCTGGTTGTGAGGTGTTAATCACTTCTCGTTACCCCACGTATACTACACGATGCACGATGAAGGCCAAAATCGGTCCGATCACCAAAACGGTCGCACGACTCAAAAATCGGCTCAAAATGGGCCAAAAACCGCACAGTGTGAGCCCAGCATCAGAGCAGCAATGTTTGTTCCCCTCAGAGAAAGGGAAGAATGGGAAAAGGAAAACACCTGGCTGGAAAAAGTTAATATGGGCATGTGCAGTGAATATCAGCGCTATGTGGCCAGAAGTGTGATAATATAACTTATTTTGTGTAATAAACAACTGCAAGGATAGATGATTACAACAAATAGATCACTAATACATAAAAGTAATACATAGATGAATAATGATGATGAGTTAAGATGCATAATCATGGGAACAAGCTGGTTTAGAAACAGGAGCAGCTGATGAGCGTCTGAAATAATACCTCAACTGAAGCCAATTGTACTAAATGCACTAAATGTGCACTGTTACAAGAATGTTTTTCCTTCTATTGTTTTCTATTATTTTAAGTTAAGCAGGACAGAGTTCTTTTAAAGAAAGATTTACTTATATTCTCAAAAGTTAAGCATGACAGTTTAAGAAAGAGACCTGTTTTACTGTGTTAATGTTGTCATTTTGAGCTAAAAATAAATGGCTAAATGATCACTTGTTTCACATATGGTCATATCACAAAGAATAGAATATGCATCTACTTAAATCAACTTCAAGTCAAATGGTTAAAAAAATAATTTCACACAAAAAAAGAGCTAAAAATTCACCACACTGGGAAGGGTGAAGACAACTGGGTCGCCCGGCCCTGGCCACGAGGTGTCCCTTATTTATTTTTCGGGGAGTTGGCAACCCTAGTTGAGGGTGGTCTGATATGAGCTTGTGTTTCTTCTTTTGCACCTCTCTGGATCTCCTTATTTAGAGATGACTCTCTTGCAGGCAACGCTCCCTTTACCATGGCAACCACCTCTTACCCTCTGCTCAGATCTGCATAAAGAGATAGCGAAGGGAGCGAGGAAAAGAAAAGGGAGAGAAAGAGCTTCTCTAACCCCAGAAATTAACAGCCGAGTTTCCTCTAGCAGAGTGGGCCTCAAGGTTTTGTACCTTCTGGTGCCATCACCAGTTCAGGCAGACCTTGCTCATCACACATTCCACAGAAAAGAAGGCTTCTCTCTGTTTATGCCTGTTAGTGGGTGAGGGTAGAAGTCTAAACATAACTATGTGCAGTAAATGATAAAACAAATGTTTGATGCAAATGATGAGGTAAAAGCATTATTGATGAAAATTAATTTGATCAACTGCCATTCTTTAATCTAGAGCAAAAACCAATCATCCTAATGTAGCGACCCTGAAGTAGCTAGGCCCGCCTAGAGTTCGTTTTACTTTATCTTACTAGTGATGGGTCGGTCGCGAACAAAACGGCTTTTGGAACTGCTTTATTTTTTTCTTTCTCTCACACTTTTTTCGCTTCATGCCACACTGATCAATATGTGTTTGTTTTTTTGTTTGTGCTGAGCAGAGGGGGAGGGGCGATAGTTACACTAATAGCAGCATTAGCACATGAACAGAGGGAGAGAGAGAGCCAGAGGCAACAACAAGAAACAATATTAGAAAGGTATAGTAAAGAAAATGAGTGATGCAAAATCTGGAACCATTTCAATTCTACTGACATTACAAAGGCAGAGTGTAGAGTCTACAAGAAAAGAATATCATATAGGCTTCACAAAACAAACTGCACAGGTACCTGAGAACTGTCCACCCATCAGTGCAATGGGAAGATAAAACACAGTCAGTTGAGTGTGATATTAATGAAGGTGCCAGTGTGTCTACTGCAACTGCTGCTGCTGCTGCTGCTGCTGCTGCTTCTGCTGCAGTATCTACAGCATCATGCATCTGAATGCAAACCTTTACCTAAATTAAAGATCTGGGTCTTCAGTTTTTTCTTTTTGCTTTGCATAATTTAATCTATATTTTATTGTGTTGTGGTTTCCAGTGTTTTGTGTTGTTTCACTTTAAATTTGTTTAAAAGAAAAAGCTGAAAATTTAAATAGTTCAAAGTTTAACTGTAAATAGTTGTTTTTGTATTTCATTATGTTATGTGGAGTAAATAAATAAAGCATATTTATATAATAAACATATATAAATAAATAAAAAACATTTTTACATTTGTAATTCATTTTGTGCATAATATTCTATTGTTGATAATAAATTAATTAAAACAACAAAACAACCTGAAGAGCCGCTTGGGAGCCCTAAGAAGCCAACACTGTTACATCTGGCTCTTTTTAGAGAACCGGCTCACTAAAAAGAGCCGGTTCTCTAAAACGAGCCGGAATTCCCATCGCTATATCTTACCTGCTAATTTTGTTATCGGTTCCTGTTTCTATATACATAGAATTTTTTTAGGCGTTCCCTTTCTTTTCAGAAGCTCTTCTCACTTTGCTTGGAAGTTCAGTGTTTCCCTTTTCCCACTCTAATCACACAATAACTACTTACTAAAAACTTATCTGGGAATAGGAAACATTCAATTGAAACAAGATCTTCAAGTTGAATTAAATTTAACTGAGTAACAAGCAAAAAAAATAATTAAATCAATTAGTCACCTTCAGTTTCGAAAATAGAATAAGTAGAATAAAGTCCCAAAGTAACTTGTGATTTAATTCACCACTTTAGTTTAATGGGCCACCACCACACACACAGACACACACAAACCAACCCAGAATCGCCACGTCCGATATGGTTGCAGGCCTGGATCGCTGTGGTCGGGGGAGCCAGTGGCCCTGAAAAAAATTATAAACTGGCACCTCTCTTCTGATGAGGAATCTGGTCAAATCCAAGAGGAGTCCTCTTCCCTGCCGCACTGTCTGTCACACAGGAAGAAAAGCAGCAAGCCTCCTCCCAGGCAGCTGCAAACTGTAGAACGAAGTCTCCAACCTTGAATCCAGTGCAGTCCTTGTTGTAATTTCCAGAGGCCGCCGTTGCAGCTAACACCAATTGATTAGTTAGGCAGCCGCTCACTGTTTTTCTAGGAAAATTTAATGACTAGTCCAATGTATTGTGAGTTTTTCCACATACAGTGGTTAAAATGGCTTTATCGTGACCATCGAGTATAGGTTACTATGCGTAGAGGTTTTTGTGAGAGAGAAGACAAATATGCTCCAATTATAAGTTTTCGCAATTTATTATCAAAAACTGGTTTTACATGGCGCTATAGACCTCCTCTCTCCGGCTCAGAGACAAAGGGCTGCTGCACCCAGGCAGTAAACATTTTTTTATTATGTTTGATAAGGATAATGTTAACATGATTGGTCGAAACAGTTTAGGGTGGCCTTAGGTCTGATGTCGGCTCACATTTCTTCTTCTGCAATTTTCTGAGCATCTCCTTATTTGGAGATGCCACTTCAAGTGGCTTTCGGTCAGACTTGCAGAAAGAGAGAAAGAGCTTCTCCAATCCCAAAATTTATGACCATGTTTACCTTCTGGTGCCTTCACTAGTGAGACAGACCCTAACCCGCAAATTCGTTAGAGAAGGAGCTCCTCTCTATTTGTGTCTGTTAGTATCTGAGTGTAGCAATCTACTTCTAATACTACTCTACAATGATTAACTATGTGCAATAAAGTATAAAACACAAATATGTGAAGCTAATTATGAGATATTTATTATTTATATTTATTGAGTCTGTTGGCATCATGAAAAGTTTATCAAAGACTCCACAAAGCTGGGGGGCACGGGCCGTGAGCACACAGGGACTCACCCTACTTAGACTTGCCTGAGTGGAGTCTTCTCATTTGTCTTTAAACCTGGGCATGAGTGAAAGTGATAGGTGGGGGAGGGGTCTCAGGACTTTCACAGGAGGCTATGGTGCAAGGTGGAGAGAGGGAGAGTGTAGTGTACCTGTGGATTGTAGGCTGGCTACAGGTAAGTCAGAAGGGGTAAGCATTCACTGCAGTGTCAAATCTGTTGAAAAACACATTCAAATCTCTGGCTCTGTCCTCACGCAGATCTATACAAAATCTGCCATAAAATACTCATAGATCAATATCTTTTCTGCTTCACCTAATAAAGTTGACCCCTTATCAAATGATAAACCATTCAGTCAGTATTTCAGGATTTTAACCGTTTAAATGCCAGTTTCATTATTTGAATTGTCAATTATTTATTTTGAAAAATAATTATTATTATTTTCCATATAATAAAAAGTAGGAGGATGGAGCATGTGTCTTTTTTCTCTTTTCTTTTGGAAATTTATTGATGTAATGACCTTGTCCTCTTTCCACTAAAGATTTTTCTTAACTGGAAGTGACATGAGCTGCGTGAACAAACATGTAAATGAATGACAAGGACAATGGTAAACAAATCACATAAAAATTGCAGAACAACTCTGTGTGTGCCAGCAGTGTGCTATAACTTTGTCTAATACTTATTGATATAAATATTAAACATTTTAGTATACTTATATTTATACCCAACAATTGAAAACAGACATAAATCTAAATAATTGATTTTAACAATACACTGTGTGTGTGTGTGTGTGTGTGTGTGTGTGGTGTGTGTGTGTGTGTGTGTGTGTGTGTGTGTGTGTGTGTGTGTGTGTGTGTGTGTGCGTGTGTGTGTGTGTGTGTGTCAGGTGGAAGGGTTAAATGCCAGTGTCCCTGAGTAAGTTTCACAGCATGCACATATTCATGTGGTAAAAAAGTTCAGTCTGTGTAAGTGTGGAGGTGAATGACTTCTTAGGCAGTATTTCCTGAACACAGCAATCCCTGATTTGAATAATGAGACTCTTTGGCCTTTCTTGGCTTTTCTCCTGTGGCTGAATCCAAATGAATCTTTACAGCAGAATGGTAAGAAAGTCTTATTACTAGTTTCTGTCTTAATAATAGTTTACAGTAACAAACAGATGTTTAAACAGTGGATTGAAATCAGCCTTTTAATTAGTCAATGACACATTTATTCATTTTAATGCAGTGCTTTGCACATTCACTCAGCTCTCCCAGGAGAAGACACAAATCCTTTTTGGAGTTGTGTCAGAAACAACATTGTTTAAGAATAGTTTTATGCAAAATGAAAGACGTCATCACATCATACAGCTGACATAGATTCTTATTTTTATTGTTTATGTTTAATATTTATAATCAAAAGTGGCGATGCACGTTATTTAATTTAATAGAACCACATAAAACTTTCATGTAGACGCCGGACTCCATGGAGAAAAAGGCTGAAAGCAAAACTCATGAAAACCTGGAAGGATTTTAGTCATTTAACCCACTAGTTGCCAGACATGCTGGTGCGTCTAAATCACATGATTGATTTAAGAATATATGGCAGCAAGACCCACAATTGCTGAGTTTTTATTTCACCCTGTGTCAAAAGCGAGGACTTCAAACTGCATACCAATTTTTAAAATGTGTTGATCGGCCAAGTAAAACCAGAATTATAATAAATCATTTTTGCCAGTGAATGAGAGAACAGCAATTTTAACAGTTTTTTAATATTTAATGTGTTAGAGTGTGTAGTGTGGTTGCTGCTATTTGTTTTGTTTTGTGTGTCAAAACAATGAGGCTACTACTGAATGTCACAGATGCTGGCCAAAGAGCCATGAAAGGCAGATTGCAATGTAAACACTGTTTCCAGGTGGGCGACAGGAGGAGCGACACACCCTGGAGGTTTCAGGCATGTGATGTGATCATCTTTCTTGTGGCAGACAGGAGGCCTTGGGAACTGCCAAGTTCACAGTGTTGGCCAGAAGAATCATAACCGAGAGATAGAAAGCAGTACTGGAAGAGCATATGGGAGCAAGATGCAACCCATAACAGCAATGCTCAGTGGCTAGTGGATCTAAGAACAGACCACAGCAACCTCCTTGAACAGGGTCCAGTAATCATTACAGAGGTAAATATCCATGAGAAGAACTCCAGAATGAAGAGTTGGACTTCACCAGGCCCCAACATGATTCATGACTACTTGCTGAAAAAGCTGACGGCACTCCATGAGCATCTGGCAGCACAAATGAACCAGCTGCTTCTGGGACCTCCAGATACAGACAGACAAACTAGTGATGGCTAACCAACCAGATATAGTAGCAGTGGACAATCAGAGAAAGACGGCTGTAGTAATAGATGTAGCTATACCGAACGACAGCAACATCAAGAAGAAAGATGGAGAAGTACTGAGGTCTCAGAGAAGAGCTCAAGAAGATGTGGAGAGTGAAGGTAACAGTGGTCCCAGCGGTAATCGGAGCACTCACTGCAGTGACCCCATAGCTGGCCGAGTGGCTCAAGCATATCCAAGGAACAACATCTGAGATCTCTGTCTAGAAGCGCGCAGTCCTAGGAACAGCTAAGACACTGAGCAGGACCCTCAAGTACCCAGGCCTTAGTAGATGACCGTGGGGGCAAGAGGGAATTTGTTTATATTGTGCGTGTGTGTGTGTGTGTGTGTGTGTGTGTCTGTGTGTTTGTTCCTGTCACACTCACAATTGCCTTCAAATCTCATTAACAAACTGCATCTTTATTATAACATACTAATGGTCAAAATGCCTCATCTTTCAACAATTTCAGAAATAAAATGTCAACTGACACTTCCACCACTCAGAGGAACCACATATGAACCTGCTTATAGAAGTGTGTTTTCTCCCGGTGAGAAGATAAGAGTTACATGTGGGGAGGCATACTGGATTCTGAACACTCAGACCACCTTCGCTGAGACTACTTGCAAAAATGACGGAGACTGGACTATCAGACCAGTGTGTGAAGGTATAAAACTGCATCTGCTTTATACACATATTCAAGGTTAAGGTTCTGCTTTGCAGCGGTTCATTTATACATGAAGATGATCTGCCCCTATTAGTTAGTCTATATCTCTTTCTAGAGGTTACATGTAGCCATCCACAAGCTCTGTATTTGGATACTGGGGTGATTCTGGGCAACAACAAAGACTGGGCGACTCTGTCAGTACACATGTGGATCAGACTACAGGAGTACAGATGCGCTCCCTGGGCCACATGCACCAGAGATGGATGGAACCAAATCCACTTTGTCAAGGTATTATGAGGTGTAGCTTGTTTTTCTTCAAATTCTGCTTTTATTTCTTTCATTTCATGTTATTGCAAAAATATAATTAAAAAATCTTGTGAATAACTGCACATCTTTTCAAAACTTGTCTGTCAATAAATGAACGATGCATGTTATATTAAGTATACTGAGTGCTCACATAGAGAAGAAATGCACCATATTAGAGCCAGTCTACTCACAATATTATTGTGAAAATTTAGTTGGGATAAAAGAAAGATAATAGTGTCCAGTATAAATGCAAGAGAGTTCTGAAGGAAGTTTCACTCCAATCTTTAGGGAAGATGGCCTGCATGGCTCTAACAAATGTAGAGGTAAGAATGTTCAGGATAAATGTGATTGTTCACATCATTTGTGATATACTGCTTTTCTTGATAAAGCTAATTGTTGCAAGGTAGGGACTATTTATTCGGTGTTCGAGCACAAGGGCACCGCAGCTTTTACTTAGCTGACCTTGAACAAAAAACATCATTAGGAATTATTATTCATAATAAAAATAAGAAGAATTAGAAGAATGGGATTGAATGAGTTAGATGTGGGAGATGGCAGTATTTGAATAAACAAATAAAGCAGATATTATTATTTTATTTTTTTTGGCCTGTCCCGTTTGGCTCTTTGCCATCAGAATTGTTGTCTAAAGGCAAAGAAAGATGCCCAACGGATTTACTTTACCAAATTGACCATCCCAGCCTTGCCGTAATGGTCCATTTGATTCACCTTTTATTGTTTATTTATTTCACTTACTGAATACGGGACAGACTTGACTGGGGAAAGAAGGGGAGAAAGAAAGAGGGAAAGAGAACAGCTGAGAAGAGGGATGGGGGAGAAGGGCAAAAACAAAAACCAACAGAATGAGCAGAAAAAAAGAAATAAAGAAAAAAAAATGCATATATCAATCACCTGGATCACCTGCTGAGAAAGAAAAAGAAAACAAGCAGAAGAAACAAGAGTAATAGAATACCAGCATCACAATGATATATGGGAATATGACAGTAATACTAAATATTAAACATTATTGTGCAGCACATAAGATCAACAGAACACAGTGTGCTTTGAGGTAGGAGCCAAAAGGGGTGTAGTTTTGGGTGTGATCACCTGTGTGTACACCTGTGAGCAGGACGCGCTTGTTTTTAAAAGGTTCCTTCATGTAATGATCTGCTAGAGGTGGGGGGCCACAGCCCCGTCCTCCAGGGCATGAAGCAGGTATGGAGGAGATCAAAACTCCAGACATCCAGAGGCCCCCAGAACACAAGAGACCAAGGAAGACCAACAGAGGGCAGCCGCGCCACTGTCCCAGAAAGAGCTGAGGAGAGTCCCAGATGAGGGCTCACTCAGCAGCCGCGGAGCAGAAGCCAGGGGAGTTGCAGTGACGCGCCCGTGAGCTCCGCCGGCAGCCCAGCCATGCCTGAGTGACGAGCCCCAGGCCGAGAGGCGGGGGGCACCCCACCTCCGAAGTGGCCCGAGCGAGCCCAGGCTGCAGGCCCCGATAAGCGGCCGCCAAGGAGTGAGCTGGTGTGTACCTGGACGCCCATCCCCGGACACAAAGAACCACCAACGCACCGACGTCTGAGGGAGTCCGCCACTGGCAGGGGAAGTGGTGGTAGGGGGAGATAGGCCTCCATACCTTGGAGGGCCTAAGATGTCCCAGAGAGGTGGCGCCTGACACCCAACCTGACATATAGACACAGAAATACAGGCACACACATATAAACATCCATTCCCACCCTCATGCTCTCATATACACTTACTCCACACTCAACCAACGTGAAGACAGACATAAAGAGACGCTGTACACACGATCACACTCCCCAAGCGTACTCTACAAACCGGGTCTAGGTACCCTTGCCCCTGGGGGGGGAACTGCACCCAGACCCAGGTGGTGTTACCCTTTTCCCTGCGGTGGGGGAGGCAGACCGCCCCGACTCCGCAGCAGCAGGGAGGCCCCACACTCCAGGACCGCAGTCGGACGGCCAACTCCTCCTCCTAGCCCCCCTGCTCCAGCAGGTCGCAGAGAATGGGGGTGAGAGAAGACTCCAAACCTCCCTCACCCGCTCATTGTAGTGTTGATGCATGTGTGTTCTAAGGTGCATTTAAAACCCAGGAGGGCATGGAGCTACCTGCCAGAGAGCAGCAGGTAAGCGCATGGTCCCTCCTGCTGGCCCTCAATGTCTACGTGTATTTAACATTGAGAGGTGGGCAACGACGCCAGGGGTGGGTGTACACCCTGATGGTACTTTGGATTCCGTGTATCGTGCCCACCCCAAGATCCTATATGCATGTGTAATGAGAGTGTGAGTAATGTGAATGTCTAAGTTGTGGGATAAAATTGAGGCAGGGGCAGCCAGAAGGGGACAGGGGGGGTGGGGGGGTGGCTCCTCTGCACCCTGGTGACATACCCCTACTCCAAGGTCCTGCATGTGTGGGTGGTTGTGATGGAGCGGGAAGAGGGAGGCAGCTGGAGATGGGAGGGAAGGAAGGAGGGGCAAGTGACCCCTCCCTGGGGCCAGCTCCCCCGCTGACCCCAGTAGTACCCCCATACTCCGCGACCCACCAGGGAAGGGGCCCAGGCCATCCAGACCGGGGCCCAGCGCAGCAGCGCTCTCCGGCCCCACAGAGCCCAGGACAGTTCTACCCAACCCACCACCACAGAGAAAACTGCACCCACCCCACCATTCCACTCATCTTCCAAGACTACATAAGACAATAAACACCAGGCTGGAGATCTTCCTCCACCTCTCCTGTATCTCCCCCTCCTGTAGAGAGAGCCCCTGAGGAGAGGAAGCTCCTGCAAGAGTGACAATCCCCACCAGTTGAAGAGCCCCCCAGGTGGCTCGATGCACCGGCGGCACCCTGCTCCAGGCTGGGCCCCCATGCACCCACCCGCCCACAACCCCGGCAACACACACCAACCAGGACCCAAGCCCCGAGGCCCGGCCCGGGCCCGGCCCAGAGACGGAGCGCCCCCAGAACCTCACGCCCATCCCGGACCCACCCAGGGGCAGC